AATAATATATAAAAATTATATAAAAAAATAAAATAAAAAAATTATTTTTATAATACCACCATAATATTTATATATATATATATATATTTATTAACGGCCCCACTCCACGTTTTCCTTTCTTCTTCTTTTTTATATTTTTTCTCAACCGCAATTCCATTTCTTCCGTTCGGAGGTCTTTCCATTCTCACTTCCAAAGGCTCCCCAACCAACACATCTTATCTGGAAACTTTCCCTGACTCATTTTCTTTCCATATTTTCCCGAGAATCTATCACCTAGATCCTCAGTTGAACCCGTTTTCTTTCGATCCAGTGTTCGTTATAAATGCTTGTATTGTTTATTATTAGGTGAGAGGAAGTGGGCTCGACACTGGATATATATATATATTGATTGAGGATGGACTACCGCGCCAAGGTGAATGGACTATGCTCGTCGGAATCGGCGAATGGGAGTCGTGATGTTTGGAGTTGTAAGGAGTCCGATTCTTCTTCTGCTGATCATCTTGTCGTCATGGTTCATGGTATCCTTGGAAGGTCGGTTTTCCCCTTTTTTATTCAATTTTTCCATTTTTTTTTCAGATTTAATTTTTGATAAGATTTTGGAATTTTCTATTTCAAATTTCTGTTTAGAGGGGGAATTTTGATTATTGGTTTGTTCATTTGGGATTTTATAATTTGCCACAAAATATATTTTTTGCCCTAGAATTTGGGACAATTTATTTGATATATGGATTGTAACAATGTTTTATTATTTTGTATTGTTATGGTGCAACAATGCTTGATCCCCAATCAAAGTTGTAACTCTAATCCATCAAAAAGAAAAAAAAAATAGTTGTAATATGTCAGATTCAAGGTTAAGGTTTTGACTTTTAAGTTGACATTATAAATTTATTGCGGTTGCTTCACACATTCATTTGCATATGGTTTTTTTTTTTAAATTTTTTTTATCCCATATCTCTGGGAATAATTAGCTCAGTTTATTTGATTTGATCATATATGTGTGCTTGTGCAGTTCTGCAGACTGGAAGTTCGGAGCTGAGCAGTTTGTTAAAGAACTACCTGATAAAGTTTTGGTCCATCGTAAGGATCATTTATCTGTCCACAATTTTTATGTAGAAAAGAATGCAGACCACTTTCAGTTGGAACCCTGACTTTGCACATTTTATGGATTATAATGTTTCAAGTCCTGTCAATATGTTTATTGGAATGGTTGTTATTGCAATAGGCAATAATCTTCATTTCAGCCTTGGTAGTTGTTCCATGTAATTGTATCAAGAACCTTCATTTCATGGATTTTACTTGTTGGGGCTTTCAATCTGACTTTTGCAGCATCTAGTTAGGTTCTTATTTCCATTCTTCTTATAGTTTAAATGCATGTTATTTCACAGTACATAACTTGTTAAATTTTTGAGTTATTAAGACATTGGTAATATTGGTTTTAAAGTTCAATTACTTGGTTGACATGTTTTCAGGCAGTGAAAAGAATATGTTTAAACTGACTCTTGATGGCGTGGATGTTATGGGTGAACGATTAGCTGATGAGGTTAGAATCTTTTTAGCACAATAATTTATATTTTGGCAATGGACCTGTTCTTTTTTGGCTAGCACAATGGACCTGCTTAATGTGTTGAAATAATTGATGTTTCTTTAGCTTTTCACATAAGAGCATTCTTTGGGCATTTCTGTCGTTAACAAAAAAGAAACCAAATTCTAGGTCCTTGAAGTTATTCAGAGAAAGTCAAATCTGCGCAAGATCTCCTTTGTTGCACATTCTGTGGGAGGACTAGTGGCAAGATATGCAATTGGGAGACTTTATAGAGCACCTACTAGAGAAACTACAAAGGACTCATCAACTAATACGTGTAAAGGGGATTTAAGGGGTACAATAGGTGGCTTGGAGGCTATGAACTTCATAACTGTTGCCACACCTCATCTTGGTTCAAGGGGTAATAAGCAGGTATCTATTCTATTTATAGAAGTACAAATATCTGCATGAATACAGTCATATTTGTTTTTCTTCACATACAATATCCATAAGAACTGATTGGTTCCTTCCACTTCTTAGCTTGTAAAATATTGATTATATTGCTTCCAGCATGATGTATTAATGGTTAATAATGTAGCCAGCCAAAAAAAAAAAAGTAAGCTGAGTTTCCACTTTCCATATTGTCTATTCCTTCTAAAATTTTATATCTATTTGTAGGTACCATTTCTTTTTGGTGTACCTGCCTTTGAGAAAGTTGCAAGTTGCGTCATTCATTTGATTTTTAGGAGAACAGGTCAACATCTTTTTCTGAATGATGATGATCAAGGAAGGCCTCCACTTCTTAAGCGGATGTTGGAAGACTATGGTGATTTATATTTCATGTATGGAACTTTTAACATTCTTTAAAGCGTTTTTTTTATTCAAAATCTTAATACCTTATTAAGAAAAGCTGCATATGTAAATTTTGCTTAATAAATGTGAACATTCTTATGTAGGTCTGCATTGCGTACATTCAAACGTCGAGTGCTGTATTCAAATGTGTGTTACGACCGTATCCTCTTTCCATGATTGACATATCTGTTATTTTTGTGTACCTCTAGATTGTTTGTGTTAAATTTGGTTTATCACTGTTTTCAATAACGAAATATGATGTAGATATTGTGGGCTGGAGAACATCTTGTATAAGACTAGATAACGAACTGCCAAAGGTATTATCGTTACTAGAATAATATAATTGTTTCAAGTTTCATATTCCCAGTTTTTTAATTAGATGTTGATGACTAAGATATGTTTCTTGTAATTAGTGGGAGGAAAATTTTAATGGGAAGTATCCACACATTGTATATGAAGAACACTGTAAAGCAGTTGATGCTGATCAGGTCGAGTCTCTTTCTGCAGAAGATGATGGCTCTGATAAGATAGAAGGTTGCAACCAAATCTAGTAATCTTTGTTTAACAACTATGATTTTGGTCTATTATTCTGTATACACTAATTGTGGATGCCCCTCCCAACTTCACTGGTTTTCTTCCTGTCTGTTGTTAAGTATTTCTGTCTACATCTGGTTGAGCATCATGAGTATTCCTTCACTTTGTTCTCCTATTGTGAAGTCATTTTCATCATCACTCAAAGACATTTTGTTACCATAACCAGCCTAAGAAAATTAGTATTGACTAAGCCAAAGGAAACTAATATAGGAAAAAAAACATCTGCGTAGCTGAGCTAATGATAAAGAATTAAAGTTTAAAATAGTTCTGGTCTCTTGGCTGGCTTTTCTTTTCTTTTCTTTTTTTTAATATATATATATTTTCTTAATTGCCTTGTGATAATGGGCAGGGGAATTGGTGAGAGGATTATCCCGTGTTTCATGGGAAAAGATAGATGTTAGTTTTCACAGAAGTCGACAGAGGCTTGCTGCTCATAGTATCATTCAGGTAACCAAGTCTCCTCCTTCCACTCTTGCCTTATCATGCATGCATGAGCACTCATGTTCACACAGGGAAAAAAACCATTTTGTCGGATCATGTTAAAGGCAAATAAAAAGATTTAGGTTCTTTTTCTGTCTGGAAATACATTTAACATGAAAACTATTCCTTGTGGGTTTTGGAAAAATTACATTCTAAGAGAAGCAAATAGAATTGCTTGAAAACTAAAGAACATACTTGGTATTGAAAATGCCAATCTGATTTTTTTGCAGAATGCTTTAAAGAGATTCATAGAGAAAATCTTCATCCACACTTCAAATTTTTTGTAGGTCAAAGATCAAGTGATGCATATAGAAGGTGCAGACGTCATTCAGCATATGATTGATCATTTTCTTACTTGAAAACTTATATTCTTGGAGGCCATACAGCACAGCTAGGGACATGAAACTCCTCTTGGGTAATCTATGATTCACTTGCTGCTGCGATTCTGAACACCCGTTATTTCTGAACCATTAAATTGTACCTGAAAGGCTGAAACGCCATTTCTTGCAGGGTTTTCAATCAATTTTCAGGTTTAATTCTCAAGATCAATGACCATGAAGACCTGGCAAACATCAATCAGAAAGAAATTCCATTTGTTGATTCTGAATGTATGAACACAAACAAGTATTTGGGTCAGTTCTTCTCTAAGCTGTAATGATAGGCCTCTATAAAACATAAACTATAATGTAATAATATTATTACATTCCACATAAGAAATTTCACCAATAACTGCTTTGGCAGAAACTTTTCATTCACCATTACCATATGCTCTTGATTCCTTTCATTCCTGAATGCGTTAGGCTAACAAAATGGGTTCAAACAGCCAAGTAAAATTAAAAGCAAAATGGATTCAATGTAAAATTCTGTGTAGCCAAAAAAAAAAAAAAAAAGGAAAAAGGAACTGCAATCTTATATGATGCAGAGGTTCCTCTGTTAACTTCTACTAATGGTGCCTCCATTTCCATTGGTCACTGATGAACCCGCTCTAACATATCTCAACGGTCATGCACCCGTAGGAAATCGAGCAAAAAACCTTGGTGCACAAGGGAAGCCTATATGTGTTCAAAAACATAGGCATCATTATTTTGTTCAATATTGTCGCATACTTTGATACTAACTAGGCACCTTCAAAAACTACCATAACTTAAATTTCCTCTGCTACAGCCACATAAGTATATATTTTTTTTAAAAAAAAAGGGAAGAAAAAAATTAAGAGGTACTTCCCGAAGAAGAAGAAGAAGGCAACAAGACTAATTCTTTTCATTTTCTCAAAAACAGTCAAAATATCATAAATGTTAATAATTTGCCCTTGCCTCTACTCTTTTTTTTTTTTTGGTTGCAAAGTAAAAGAGCAATACAGCAGGTACAAGTTTACATGGTGTAAATTTTAACAATTAAGAACAAAGTACACGATTTAAGAAATTATTTTTTAAAAAAACTTGCCATAATATAGAATAAAACTCATTAACATTAAGGTTATGAGGCCTCATCCTTTATGTTTTTAGTCCATTGTTTGTTGTTGTCTTTAATTAATATTTTATTGTCTCACAATAGCCGTCATTTCTTAAATTTACATGAATAAGAATTAAGAAGAGAAACTATGACTATAATCTTCTTTTTTTTCTTTTAATGGGATTATTACTATATTCTTTTAGTGGAAAAAATATGAAAAAATAAATAATTTTATTTTAACTATAAGTTAAATTAGAAAATAATACATTGAAAATATTAAAATCAGAATAAAAAAAAATCAAGAAATGATAGTTATTGAGAGATAGATAGAGATTAGAGAGAGCAAAAAGTATTTATTTAATACTTAATTGATATGTTTACCACTTTACTAGTCATGGAAAATTTTTGCTGCTCTTAGTCACATTCTGGTGCTACAAAGTATATATAGAAATATCATTCTATCATATAAGTAGTGAAATTTGGACTTAACTAACAAAATTAAAAAGAATTAAGGGCTCAATCAAAATAAAAATATAAGAGGGTTTAATTGATTTTTCAATTAGTCAAATCAGGGCATGTACTAGGGTATCGCCTTAAAAGTCCCCATGTAAGTTCTTTTGCCCTCTACGTAGCCGCCACAAATAACATGCTCCTCTCTTATCGCCAGACTCCATTTTTTGGAAAACTGGAGACGAGGATTCTCTGCTTAAAGCTCCATCAGTGTTTCTTCCGCCTTGTTTTTCATTCAGCTGTGCGTCTTTCGTCCTCTGAATCCATCTGGGGTTTCTTTCTTCTTTCGGAAAATGACTAAAATTGGATCCAAGATCCCTACTTTTTTGTTTCTTTCTTCAGTTGCTTCTTTCTTTCTTCAGTTGCTTCTTTCACCGTGTTTGCCTTCTTCACTTCTTCTTCAGGAACTTCTCTGTTCTGTTTACTTCAACTAATCTGCCTCCAAACTATTCTAGACCAAGATTCGTTGATTCGATCCCTCAAGAACAAGCTGCAAATCAGTGGCGCATCAGTAGTTTATTTTAAAACCATCAACACATTGAATGTTACCACATCAGGTTTCACTCTTCCATATGGGCCTATCTACGATAGGTAACCCACCAGTCTTTCTCTAGTTTCCCTTGCAACAGAAACCAAATGGGCTTCGTTTCTGGTTTCTGTTGCATGTGTAAATTGGAGGAGGCTGAGCATACTCAAGATGGTCAAGAAAAAAAGTGAAGCTTATGTGGTAACATTCAACGTGTTGAGGGTAAATGCAAGCAGAGAGTTCTAGATTTTGCATAGATCTGCCATGAGATCCAAGTAGAATTGCCAGATCTAGAAAACTACTTTCCTGCACTTGTTAGCTGCACTTGCTAGTCCTATATATGAATAAAATATTCTCTTAAGAGGTTTGGACTTCATTGTTGTTTATATTTTCTCTCCAGAATGCTTAAATTATGTTTAAGGCTTTGATTACATTTAACTCTGTTAGATCTGATGATTTTTCATCTGTCCTGTCTTCTCAGAGGATGGTCAGAGCTAGAATGGGGTGGGGAAGGTAATTTTGGCTTGGTTACAGCATTTTTAGAAGTTTGGCCTGGCCGAACGAGAACTACTGTTGATATTACAGTTTTGCATTTTGATGTACGTCAAATTATCAGACTAACGGTACTATGTGCAAGTGTCACCTTAGTGAAGGAACTGAGGAAGTCATGGACATGGATTAATATCAGCATTAATTATACACATGAAATGAAATGCCTGTATTTTAATGTTGAAAATACTACTGGCTGGAAGGAGGAAGAACAGCTGGCATGGAACTTGAATGATGAAACAGGAGAAAAGGGCTGTCCTAGATAGTGTCTGACCCCATTCGTTCTCCCACTGCTTTTTTCCACACAGGCATGTCCTAGGTTTACCTAATAAGTAAGGTTTTTTTGTTAAATCTCTCAAAAAAGAGAAGATTACGGGTGTTGTTCTATTTAATAGGTGATACCTGATCGAACTGATAGTTATTTGCATTGAGGATAAATATACCAATCATATGATGAATTGTTATTTATGTTCAATGAACCAATAGAATGGCAGAACTATATATGGCTACTTGCCTTTAACCAAAAATTAATATAAAATAAAACTATATTGGCTGCTACTGGCTAGGGAGAAAAGAAAATTTTTGTAGGATCTAGTGAATGATATTTGCCAAATATGTCAATAAGGCTATACCATATAGCTCTATGTGTTATCAACTGGAAGAGAGAGTCTTTTTAAAAATTTGAGTGGGAGTTATCAATAAATACCCAAAAATTTTATATAATTACTTAGTCATAGAAATATTGAGATATAAGTCAATAAAGTTAAACCTTACAAAAGTTAAACTGTACACAAGTTAATAAAATTAAACTAGACAAATGTTTCGTAATAAGACAAGAATTAATATTTAAAAGAATTAAGCACCAAAAGTTATATAATTACTTTGAGAAGTAGCAAGGGTATGAGCCAATAAGATTAAATCCTTTAGTGGTATTGACTCCAGGAGAACTGGGCTATTAAACAATTGAGTGAGGTTATTGCTAACTACACTAAAAACAATTAACTACTCAACCTTATTAGAAGTGACACGACATAGGTTAATAAGGTTAAATTATCTATAACTTGGTGTGTTATTAACTCAAAATGAGTTAAACTTTAAAGAGTTGAGGTGAGGTTATTGTTAAATGCACTAAAAATGATATAACTACTTCGTTACAAAAATGGTAGGACACTAGGCAACTAAGTTAAATTATTTGTAAGTGTATGTGCTATCAACTTGAGGAAATTAAACAATTGAGATGAGTTTTTTTTTTTTTTTTTTTTTTTTGTATTAATCTCTTGGTATTCGATAACCATATTGGATTCCGAGTAATTGGGAATCAAGTCAGATGGAACCCCATTGGGGGGAAGGTTATATCTAAATACGTCAAAATTTTTCTAACTATTTATTGACAAAAATAACAAGACATGAGTAAATAAGATTCAACTATTTGTAACTTTGCTTGACAATGTATCTTGATATAGGCGGTTCAAGTTTCCCTGTAATTAGATATCAAATTAGGAAATTTTTTTTCTTAGGATGTTGGTAGGTGCATTCCGTTGGTTCAACACTCAGCATGACACACCCTATAAAATATGTTTTATTAGTCGGTTTGGAATAAGGGCTGAAATTGTAGACATTGTCTATTCTTGTTACCAAATAGATTGGAAATATGTGCCTCCCCTGTTCATCTTCTTCCCCATGAACCTAGCACTTTTCCAATACCTTTTTTCTACCCATTTCCGGTTACATTTCTCTTCCCCCCCTCCTTTGTTGTGACTGGGATTGCATGAACACAGCACTGTGTTTGCACAAACCCAAATGATTTGGGCTTGGGATAGATTTGGATTCCTCGTGAACTTAGATCTAACCTAGCACACGAATTGATATTGGTGATGACCCAATTTTATTTGCATTAGTTTTTTAGTAATTCCTAAATCTACTCACACTTCTTGTTCCCAAATGGTCAAATCAAAGAACTCATCAATGCGAAACGATTTTTGGAAATTGAGGGTTAAAAAGGAACAAGTTACAAATATGGGATCTAATAGAGTCAAGCTTCTTGGGGAGGTGGGTTATGGTTGCCCTTCTTGTTTTGAGAAACAAAGTAGTGGGTAGAGGAGGAAAGGGAAGATTTAGGGAGGATTGGAGAAGAGAATGCATTTGTGGGGGAGGTGATAGGTGAGAAAGGGAGAGGAAGCAGAATGTTGTGATGGAGAAGATAGGGATAAGAGTATTCTAGCCCCCACAATGTTTTATGGGGTGAATTGGAGATATGTGGTGGTGTGTGTCGGTTTAGGATGTGCACGTATCGTTTCCCTTTTTCTTAATTGGGGATTTAGCCAAGACTTTTATGAATTTTCCTTTTGCAAGTGCTATTTTTGGAATATCATTAATAATATTACGAAAAATGATTAAGAAATAACTTTCTTATATAATGTTATGTGTCATTTAAATGATTAACTCTTTTTATTTATTTAAAACTCATTAAGTGTATCTATTTATTTAATGATGTTTAAAAATTGTATAAAAATATTGTCACTATATTATTGTCCTAGTTTTACCACGTAAAGAGTTATATTGTTAGCTAGTTGGAATCAATTTTTCTTTATTTTTCATGGTAAAATTTTCAAATAGAACTGCACAACCAAAATTTCTCCATGCATGGAGAGGATAATCTAGTTGAAATTGAACGTAGGTAATTTTGTTAGTATTCCTACTTGGTTGTTCCATTTATTAACTTAGTTTAAATTTTTTACATTTATCTTTATATTTAAACCAATTGATAAACAATAGCTAGAGAATTCATTTCTTTAAAATTACGTATTTAACACTTAAGAGACATGAAACACCTGTATTGTAATGTGGAAATGTTGTTGGCAGATGGAAGGCAAAATAGCTAAACTTGGAAATAGAAACATGAAATAGGAGAAGTGGATTACATTTAGAGTGACAGTACCAAAATTACATTGTGAGAAATTGGTGAAGAGAATCTCAGTTGGGAACAAGTGAATAGTTCACAAAAGAGTTGTGAGTCATAGTAGAGCATAAGAATTACTAGGCAACTAGCTTTGCTGTTCTCTTTTTGCTTACACCTTCCACTAATGACAGTTCCTGGAGATCTTGGTCATAGTATCAATAAAGATATGGATATTGTTCTATGATTGGCGATACCTTATCGAATTGTTTATCTATTTGGATTGAGGATCAAGTACACACTCATATGCATTGATGAATTATAACCAAATGGAAAAAAAAGAGAATGTAACATCCATTAGCTTCCAGAGATTTTACTTTTACAAGTTGAATACACGTTGCTGGGTATTGGTATATAAGGGTGATGTCTAATCTACTTAAAGAGAGCCTACAAATTTTTTGAAGGATTGGGAGAAGGTCAAGGCCAGATACACTAAAAATGTACAATTGCTTAGTAATAAAAAGTAGCGAGACACAAGTCAATAAAGTTAAATTGCTTTTAATTCTATATCAGTTTGAGGAGTTGATGAGAACAGGTCTTTGTAAAGAATTATGTGATGATTATCATCAAATACGCTAAAAATGATACAACTGTTCAGTCACAAAAACGACGAGACACAAATCAATAAGGTTAAACTACTAATTTTATGTGTCATCAACTTAAGTAGGAGTGGCTTTTGTAAAGAATTGAGTGAGCATTACTAAATACACTAAAAGTGAGATAATTGTTTAGTTACAAAAAAAGCAACAAGATACAAATCAATAAGGTTGTACTTTTAATTTTGTGTGCCATTAACTTGAAGAAAACTGGTCTCTATAAAGAATTGAGTGAAGGTTATCGTCAAATACATTTAAAATAATATAATTGTTCCTCACAAGAATGACAAGACACACGTTAATAAGGTTATGCTTCTAATTTTGTGTGACAGCAACTTGAAGAGAGTTGGTCTTTATAAAGAATTAAGGGAGGTTATCATCATATACACCAAAAGTAATATAACCATTCAATCACATAAATTTTATTGGAAAGACTAACTGATTGAGGGTCCCTAAGAATATAAGTAAGAAAGTATTTTTATACCAAAATTTAACCAATTGTTCTAAAGATTTTCCTCCATACTTGTCATAGTGTGCCACTAACCTAAAGGGAACTAATATTTTTAAAGAATTGAGCACGTTATCACCAAACATGTAAAGGTATACAATATTTCATTATAAAAAAGCGAGGCACGAGTCAATAAAAATTAAAACTGATTTCACAATGCATCATGAT